ACCCTCAAAATTAGTGACTAGCTTGTAAACTTAGCGGAGCATTTAACAGCCAGAGAAAGATCAATATGTCAGGAGCTGTTAGTAACCAAAACATAGGTAAAACAAAAGTGAATAACAACTGCACAGCCAAATAAAATCAAGTTAGTTTAAGTAAATCAGTCCCTACCTGAGACTCATATGGCAGGAAAGCAACGTTGATCTCTTTTAAAGTCTTGATGACCTTGGCAACTCTGGCTCTGCCAATCTCCGCGAAGAGACCATCTGGACAAGCTATGGAATCAAAAAGAAAGAAAGAAAGAAATACAATGGCTTAATGTAATTATTCGACATGTTTGCACAGTACATTTGAACTTAAAAGGTGAAAAACATTTCTTATATGTTTAAACTCGGGAGGTTTTTTATGAAATGATGCAAATGTGCACAGTACTACACACACACACACACAAACACACACACTTACTGTCAGTAAAGAAGATGTGTGCTGCTTTGTAAGTAAAGGCAGCGTCTTTGAAATCGTTAATGAGAGCACGAACAGACTGGAATTGGAAAATGGAAATTTTTGCTTAAAAGTCATTGTTATATTATTATATCAAAAATATCACAATGAACACAGAAGATCTTAACATTACAAAGGGAACTCTGAGAAAAAGGCAACAGCTAACCTTCTCCACAGGTGAAATCAAATAAATGGCCTCCAGACTAGAGATGGGCTCCCTTCGTTTATTGATGTCCTCCACAACTGAAAAAGAGAAAACGGAAGACTTTTAGTTCAATCTAAACAATCTGACTTGATAAATGTAACTACAAGTAAAACATCATCATCGTGTAACATGAAATACTCTAACATAATGTACCAGCTAAGTAAGCTCTGGCATGAATTGAAGTGTCTGTGGAATTCCTAGAAAGGCATCAAAAGCATTCGGATCTTGCCATCCATATATAATATTGGGAAGAGGATGAGCCTTTTGTATGTGGCCAGGACAACATTTCCTATCTTTCACTTGAACGAACAAAACCCTGCTCTAAAGATATGCTGCAAATATCCCCAGATTGTTCTAAAACAACCGTTTGAAGAAGATGGCAAAAGTTAAGCAGCCCTTCAAAAAAATGTATACTGGTATCTGTTGGTTTGATGCCTCATGTATACAACTGATCCATAGGATACAAGAAACATTAATTATGTGCAACTTACTGGTCACCCCCTCTGCCAAAATGTCAGACATCTTGCAGCAAGAGGACAGAATTCGCATGCTCATGTGATCCACAATGAGAACCTGAAGAAACACGAGATAAACAGGAGTTATAAACTCGGTGTGGTGGGGGATTGTCAGTTCTTATTTGGGTAACTGTTACCTTCCATTCTCCATCCTTCTTAACACTCTTGATGACCCCATTGAGGATTTCTGAGGAAGGGAAGAAAAAGATCCAAATACCATTACAGAACTATCAATCATTTCTGAGGGATTTTAGTAATGACACTTACACAGCAGTACGTGTCAATATACTGTTTGTGAACCAGAAGTAACATAACACAATAATAATATTTTATGTGATAGCTATAATTTACCAAACATCCAATTATCTACTCAGTGGCTAAAGAGTAAACAAATACACGTGTGGCATCAATGAAAGGTTTATTCAGTTAAATTTCTTTAATTTAAAGTAAAATATCAAACTGAAATGTTGAGAGATTTCACATATAAACACAGTGCAAAGGACAAGAGGTCAGTTTATTAAACAACGCTCTACATCAGGAAACAGGAAGCTTCTAGAAACAAACCACCAGCACTTGTATTTACCAACTCACAAGTTAGTTGAGTGCAACTTCCTTGTGTTATACTGTTAAGATTACAGTGTATGAAGATCAGACAAAAGCATAGTTGTTCCAGTGACTTCATAGGCACAACAGCTGAGGTGTGGTACTACTGGTGAAACAAAACAGAGGATTTCCTGCAGTGTTTTATAGTGGAGGTGGGCCACCTTGCCCGAAATGCCCTGAAATCAAATATTAGCCTTCGGGGTAAAAGAGCAGAGGCACTATTTGATACAGCAAAAGCCATTAGATTTAGTGCGGCTACCGTTTACATCATCATCTACTCACCAGGATCAGGGAGGCTTACCACCAGAGCTAAAGCATTTCCTCCCTTTAAATGTGTACACAGAGACCTACACAAATGTGATGTAATGTTCTTGACACTTAACTTCCTTGTTTTATCTCAGTAGAAACACATCAGTGACTTCCGAAGACAATCTGATTAATAAGTCTCACTAACACATCAATACACTTGTTCGTTTACATCATAATTGGCTGCTTATGGGAAGTTAAATTCTGCAGTTTATTAAAATATGAAACTTATCTAGTTTATACTAGAAACTGATCGTTGGCATGGGTTTGGGGTTTTTTTTAGAAAATATTTTGGATTACTCACAAATGTCTCTAACCCTATTTCCATACAGGGAACTGGAAAAAATGACTACTTGTAACTGGAATTGTTCACATCAAAGCAGACAGCCATCAGGCCATTTTAGCAACCTTGATCTTCCCCTACGTATGTGTTAATTTTTCAAATGTACCAAAATATATCTGCTTGCAAAATTGCCCTGGGCCCTGACTTGCCCTTACCGCTGCGTTTGGCCTTATTTGACTTTATTCTGTCACTGCTTTGCGGTCACTGACAGATTTTATTTAGCACTGTAAACGGTGACAAGGGAGTGTACATCCCCGTTCTTTAACTCAACTTGTGTGCACAAGTGTTTTTCGAGCATCACACTCAAGTTGGTGACAATTTCAAACACATGAAATAGCATACTCCAAACCTCCTAGAGGAAGTAGGTTATAGGCCATTACATGCAGATGGATAGTCAGCAGTGATCTGATCTCTGCATCCTGGGCATTGTCAGGGCTACTTGTATTACTACTTGTATTTCAGCAATCCTGAGTGAGGGGTTCACACTACACTGCTCTTTTTTTACAAGAGCAAAATACAGACACATCTCCTAACTCCTGACATGTTGAAAAAGTTATATCAGTGTTTTGGTTTTACTGAACCACTTAAATCCCAATGCTTAAAATGTTTTATAAATGTTAAAAATATATATGGTTAAATTAACATTACCACTACACAATGCTGTTTGTCTTCGTGGATATTTGTGAATATCTAATCAATAATTATTAAAGCTACATGTAACGTTACTGAAATAAATGCTTTCAGTGGATCTATGACGTTATTTAAACAATATTATTTGTTAGACGAAACGAGACGTGCGAGTTATTAAATATATGTAACGTTTTGTGACAGAAAGCTGTCATTTTGTTGCTGTTTGATTGCTCCCCGCTGTTTTATAACTTAACCATCACAAGCGAAGCTGTCGAAACTTCCTTTTAGGTTAGCATGCTAACGTTAGCCTATAACTCAGTACTGTCACAACATCAACGACTTTCTTCCCTTTATGTCCGCCAAATGTCACGACAACGTCAGCCAAAAGAAAAACACATACAACGCACAAATACTACTTCTTTTTTTTTTTTTTCTCTCTCTAAATCAGTGACTTGGTTGGTGATAACGTTATTTACTTCGGTAAAGTTAAAATGTAAATAGGGAGTGGAGCAGGAAGAAAGCTTTGGTGGACCAACACCAGCAGGGTGATGCGTCGCAGGTTAAGCGGCGATTCATCGAGCTACGACGAGATAAGTTCGCCTAAACTACCTGTGTCTTTTGCGGATGTGATAAACTAATGAAAGCAGACAACGTTAAAACGAATGTGACACTTACTTTCTCCTACTACCGCCTTCAGCCCACTCGGTGCCATCTTGACAACTAGTCTGCTGGCTAGTCGGTCACTTCCTTGTTGTGAGAGCCTGTGTGGTTCAAGCCCACAGCTTTGGACAGTGAAATACTGGCCCCTTGTGTCCGGTACTGGTATTGCAAGAACACGTCTCATAGATAGATAGATAGATAGATAGATAGATAGATAGATAGATAGATAGATAGATAGATAGATAAGATAGATAGACTTTATTAATCCCC